ATAGTGGGCATCAAGTTGTAGGCCAGGTAAAAAGACCCTGTAGAAATAATTCCTAATGTCCGACCGACACATGGCAAACCATGGGCAACATAACCCAACCCAACTCCTGACAAACAAGTTAGAGACAACTCAAATAATCCGATCCGACACTCAACAAGGATAAAGCGTACAAAACGACAAGTTGGTATAACAGGTGTTGAACACTCGGGTCGAGTCATACAGCAGGGAAAGTAGCAATTACGAGTCCAACCAGGCCGCCGATGCGAGCACTGGGGACGAAAACAGAAGGTCACTACATCCCGGGAAGACTGACCCCACAAGCGGAAGATAGACTTTTATAACTCGGGAGGTGGACGGATATGAGAACATTTTAGGGACTCGACATGAATAATATGAGAAATTAGCTAGTCAGGTAGAGAGCGGGAGATTTGAAAATAGGCAAGTAACGCATCAGAAAGTGATCGTTTCATTCCGTTTGAGTTCGGACCAAGTACAGCTTGGTAAGATGCGGGAGCACGACCTTTTGTAAACAAACGGGATCATGGTAGCAGCAGCCATCCTGCCGTGTATAGTTGGTTCACTAAATGTAGACACCACGGCAGGAGAGTCCCTATTGTGAGCTCTATTGTACTCACAATGGGGACTGTCCTGCCGTGGTGTCTACATTTAGTGAACCAACTATACGCGCTGGCGCGGTGGGTGACCTACCGCAGGGCGTAGAGCACACGCTTACCTGGGGCCAGAGGTCGGCATCCGCTCCCGAACGCAGCTCGTTCCATCCCGCTCGGCTCTGTCACCCGTCCCGTCCCGTCCCGTCCGCTCTCGGTCCAACTCGCTCACTCCCACTTGCCGAGACCCGAAGGTGTCAACGGGTCCCGTCTGCTGGCCAAGCGTGGCGTGGCGTGGCGCGTAGGCAAAGTCGGTCCAGCGCCACGCCAAGCCACGCCCTCAGGTGACCGGCAAGCGAGACTCGGCCACTCAAACGGGTCCCGTTCGTTCGGGTGCATTCGGCGAGGTTCGGCACATCGCCATCGCTACCTCGGGTTTCTCGCTCTGACTCTCTCGCACACGGACTGCGCACAGCGCGCGCTCAGAGTGGGACTCGTTCGGGCGCGGATGCCGACCTCTGCCTGGGGCCAAGTAAAGTCCGTGGTGAATTCCCCGACGTACATCGCTAGAGACTTCACAGAGCGAGCCTCTGGCAGGTAGGCGAGGATCTGGTCGAGGCCACTCTCGCGACCGTCCTGTTGGTCCACGCCCACGCGTTTTCGCCAGAAATCGCTGCAATCCTGGTAAAATGTATTTTAACATGTTTAAGCAGTTGTTGAGTGACTCAAAGTATGCGCGGGCAGAGGGCGATAGTGTACAGGAAAATAGAGCATTCTCAAAATGCCACACTATATTGGACTCAACCTTGTTACTCCGCTGATAGAGGCAAATTTATAACTTTTTGTTTAAATGAAAAACTGCATGCATTGAGGATGCCATAGATAAAATAAATCCTTTCCGTAACTTGCCTGCACTTTACAAAGAGTTTTATTTAACTCTCCTGAAGTGTCATTACGATGAACTATTGCGACAAATTTCTTACAGAGAATCGGTGTTAAACATATATAATGAGAATCTCTAAAACAAACAGGGATCTTAATAGTCCCTGAATATCGAGGAATGGGTGAAGATAAATATAATTTAGACTAAAACTCCCAGTTCACAAAAAGTAATTGCATTGTAGGGTTTGCTTCATTTAAAGTTAAGAGCGGAATATAGTAACTAGAATAAACAGGTTGGAAAAACAGGTCTGGAAAATGTATGAATTTCTCCATGGGAGATATGGGGAATGACCACTGGTTGGATGGGCCTGCCTGGCCCACAGGGAAAGCCACAATTTCTTGGGGCATTTTCTTTGGCAAATTCTGTAACAGATTCACCAACTTTGGTATTTTTCCTTTCCTCTTTTCTTTTAAAGACTCTCACTTAGCCACTTTTGCTTACCTTCTGGGTGTTCCTGGCTAGAACCTTCCTTAGGGCCGAGGCCCTCTTCTTTGCTTTGAGGTTTGGGTCCCCTCCTGGCTTCATTTACTTTGCCTTTTTGGCTTCAGAGACTCCTTTCTCTTGCTCCAAAGACCTTTTAGCTGTGGTAGCCGTGGTTGTACGGGTTTTTGGAAGTCTTGACAGCCTTGCTAGCCTCGCTGGCCTCGCAAGCCTCGCTGGCCTCGCTGGCCTCGCAAGCCTCGCTAGCTCCGCTAGCCTCGCTCTCAGAGTCTGAGGACTCAGTCTTCAGTTCCACCCTGGCGGTGCGCTTCCTGGCGGAGCGGGCCCGAGGTTGGCGGCGACGCCGGGGTCAGGAGGGGATCAACAGCGGGAGGCGTCGGTGCGGGGGACCAGGCGTGCTCGAAGCCGTCACAGTCATCGTCGTCCTGCAGCGGTTGCTGTTTGCCATCGTCCAACAGGTAGTCCACAAAGTGACCCGCGAGCACAAGTGATTGGTTAAAACAGGGTGTACATTGATTAGCAAAATAAGTTCAGCCAGTAGCGTGCACGGTGCACGTAAACGAAAAATAGAAACATCACCAGACCTTCATCCTCATTTACTTGAATTAAAAGAAATAAATTAAACCTAATAATGATTTTTGGCACAAAACAGAAAGAAAAAGGAGCGTAAAATGAAACTATCAAAGCCTATCAAATTATCAAAAACTGTCAAATTGTAAAACTGTAGTCATTTTTATTACTATAAGTTAATAAACATACATAGTTACATCTCGTTAATATAATGAAAGTAGATCACATCGTCTTGGGTATTTTAAATATGTCATAGCCAAAAAGCTGTGTCATTCATTTCGTAAATCACAAGGCTACTTAAAAATATCATTAAATTAGGAGTAAACACAAACATCTATTATTTACAAAATATTTACCATTAACAACAACTATTGACTTCATAACCAACACTACAATTAACAAAAGAAGGATAAAAACACAGTCCAGAATGATCACAAAAGTGTAGAAGAGCACTTAGTCCCAATCAAACACCGGAGCGGCGCCCGACGATGCACTGACTAGGTCGGAGGCGCCGCTCACGGAAGAGATCAGGAAGGGGGGAGGGTCGTCAGGCTCCTCCTCGTCCGCCATCTGGAGGATGTTCGTCACCGCCTCATTCAGCTCGCTCTCCTCCACGTTCGCTGAGGGCGCCTCGGTAGCTGGCACGTCGCCCGCCTCCGCCGCGTCCTCGCCGAGCAGCGCCGCCTCGAGGGTCTCGTCAAGCAGCGGGTCTACCGCCGACGTGACCGCCGTCACCTTCAGACCCAGGTCCCCGTCGTCGCCGGTCGCGACGTTGACGACGGCCATTGACTTGGGCGCGACCTCGTCGTCGTCGTCGGGAATCTCCACTATCTCGACGACCTTCTCCTCGCGGCGGCACTCGCCCACCACCATGATGTCCTCCGAGATGTCGATGACCTCGCTGGCGCTGGGAGCGTTGGGAGCGTTGGGAGCGCCGGGAGCGCCCTTCACGGCCACGGTGTGCTCCGCCTCGATGTGCCAGCGAAGGGTCTCCTCCAGGGCGAAGGCGCGCCCGCACTGGATGCACTCAAAGAGCGCCCCCACGCCGGCGTCGCCGCCAGTCTCGTGCTCCAGCTCGTGCATCTCCAGCTGCATGGCGTGTCTGAAGCGTGCGTCGCACTCGTCGCACTTGTAGACGAGCTGCGCGTCGGCGGGCACCTCCTGGGCGACGCGCGTCGAGTCGTCCTCGACAATCTCCTCGCCCTCGTCGTCGTCCTCCTCCTCGTTCTCCTCGGTTCCCCCGCCCTTGTCCTTGTCCTTTTCTTTGTCCTGCGCCTGCTCGTCCCCGTCCGCCATCTTGAGCGACCGCTTGCACTTGCTGCCCTTCCCCTTGCTCTTCTTCGGCGGGCGGCCGGTACGCGGCGGCGGCGCGGGTTCCGGCGCGCGCTTGGTGGCGGGCTTGGCCTCCGGCGCGGCGGGAGGCGCGGTGCCGGGGCTGGTGCGGCTCAGCAGGCGGTAGTTGCTGATGCGCACGCGGCGCAGCCGGTTGGCCCTGAGCGCCACCGGGGTCGCGGCTGCGTTCTTCTTGGCCTGGCTGGCGGCGGCGCGCGCAGCGCGCAGGTGCATGCGCTTCTTGATCATGGCCACCTGCCGGTTGTGGCGCGTCTGGTGCAGGTGCGCGTCACTGCGAGTCCGCGCCTTCAGCGCGTCGTCACCGGCTCCCTTCTCCACCTTGGCCTCGTCCATCGTCACGTGCTTGAGCTCCACCCTGGCCTCGGCCATCTTGGCGTGCTGCAGCTCCACCTTGGCTTCGACTTTCGGCACCTGTCCGCCGCTGCGCCGCCTGGTGAGCACGCCGTTCTGGTCAAAGCCGATGTCGATGTTGTTACCGTGCTTCTTGCAGTAGTGCTTGGCTAGTGACGTGGCGAAGCGGAACTTCTCCTTGCACTCGATGCAGCCGAACGGGCGCGCCTCCGGGTGCACCCTGTACATGTGCTGCTGCAGGGTAGAGGGGGCGTGGCCGCGGTAGGGGCAGATGGTGCAGTTAAGCTCGCCCTTCTGCAGCGCATCGAGCGGCCCGGGGGCAGCCGCCTGCGGGGGTGTCTTGGGGGAGGACTTCGGCGCGCCCTGGAGCATCTGGTTCCTGGCCGGGCAGTTGCGCGCGCCCCGGGCCAGGTGGCGCGACACGAACTTTCGGGAGCGAAACCGCTGCCCGCACAGGGGGCAGTTGTTCTTGTACGTCCTCTTCACGCCTTCAGCCCGCGCCGCCGGCCCGCTCGAGCCCGTGCTGCCCGCGTCCCAGTCCAAGCGCTGCAGCGTCTCCACCGACTTGATCTTGAGAGAGCCGCCCCACGGCCGAGAGGTCCCCCGCCTGGAACCTGAAACAATAGGCGCGTTAGCTCGCGTTAGCACGACCCTTCTACAGCGCTCACACCGCACACCTTAGCCTAACAAGCGACACCATGCACATTCAGAAAGAGAAGGAAGATACGGCTTCGGCAGAAAAAAAGGGAGAGAAAAAAGGAGGGCTTGTCGATGAACGTAAAAGTTTTATTCTCCCTCCAACATAAATATCACAGGGATGGGACCGCCCGGTGCCCATCACGGCACGAAAGCCCCAAGGGATGTTCGCATCGTCACCTAGAACAAACAATAGATTTAAAACAAATAAAGAGAAGTGCGGGTGCGCACGAGAGATGACTGCTCTCTCACCTGGGAACAGCCGACCTTACGGGCTGTGTCTTAGGCGAATGTGGCGTTTCAGGTTGTACCTCTCCACAAACTTGGCGTCGCAGCACGGGCACGCGTGTGACTTGAGGCCCATGTGGTAGCGGATGTGCCTGTTGAGCCTGCCCTTGTGCGAGAAGACGCTCTGGCAGTATGGACACGAGAACAGCTGTGTGGCATCGGCCGATTGGCGCCCTAGGGGCAGAGGAAAACAGTCAGCAAAGGCTCCAAGTA